TTCAAAGTAGACTTTATCCTGTAATTGTAATATCAAAAGTAAATAAGTCTTTATACTTGACTACTGTTACTGCTGGTTTTCTTAGCTTAAAAGAATCAGATGTAGAGTAAGCTTTTGCGGTGCTTACTAGATGATACTAATTTAAGATTGTATAATTGTTTATTGTTTTACTATGTACAGAATATTTTATCCTACATTCACTTAAAAAATAACTTTATTCACACCACTCATCTATTTAGGGTGTACAGCTCTATGGTTTTTAGTATATTTGCAGTTTTGCAACCATCAGCACAGTCAATTTTAGAACACCTCTATCTCCCCAGAATGAAACTCTGTAGCACCCTACATTCATGATCAGATAGGGCAGGTTAGACCTCTGCTCTCGGGCGATGTGTCAGGTGGCTGTGTGCGGGCAGGCCATGGTGTGGGCACGGGGAAGCAGACATACCAGTGGGGCTGCTCAGAGTGACTAGGCAGGAGATGGTGAGAGTTTGAGCCAGGAAAGTGTCTGTAGAAAAATACAAAGCTGGGAGCCGTAAGCCTTTGAGAGTGGGGAGCATGTTATAGCGTATTTGGGTATAAAAGAGTCTGGGAAAAGGTTGTGGGAGTTGTTATTAAAATGTAGGATGGCCCTAACCGGTTTTGCTCAGTGGATAGAGCGTCGGCCTGCAGACTGAAAGGTCCCGGGTTCAATTCCGGTCAAGGGCATGTACCTTGGTTTCGGGCACATCCCCAGTAGGGGCTGTGCAGGAGGCAGCTGATCAATGTTTCTCTCTCATCGATGTTTCTGGCTCTCTATCCCTCTCCCTTCCTCTCTGTAAAAAATCAATAAAATATATTAAAATGTAGGATGTAGAGATTAGGCTTTTTAAACACGGAGCAATTTCAGACGATGGCCCTGGTGTGGACAGCTCACCTGCGCAGGGAGCACGGGGGGGGGGGGGGGGGGGGGGGGTGTCAGGATTGCTGTGTAGAAGCAGCGAACGTCAGCTGTTGTGCAGGTGACAGTGAACGTTGAGGAATAATGCATTTTATTGGGATTAAAAGGAAAGAGAAGAGGAAAGATTGGAAGTTGATGTTAAAGTCAGGATATTCCAGTTTGAGGTCTCAGAATGGACAAGTCAGAATACTGATAAGGGCTACTGAGCCAAAGAGAAAGAGCTTGTGATACAAACGAACAACTTGGAGGCGAGTAGTGCACCTTTGAGTCCAGTGGAGACAAATTAGATGCCAGAACTTGCATAGGAGACATTTGCTGTGTCCTGAGTATTGCTCCATGTTTATTGATTATCTCTTATATGACACGTTTTATTCTAGTCCATATGATTGTGGAATTTATCTTCTAGTTGGGGAGAAATATAGTAAATAAAAGTTGAAGTCTATGAGATGGTAAATGCTGTGGAGAAAAATAAGCAAGGTCAGGGTATGGGAGAGCATGAGGTGGTCAGGAAGCCTCTATGTGAAGGTGACATTTAAGCAGAGACTCAGTGGCAATTGGAGAGGGAGCCATGTAAATGCCTGGGGTAAGAGCATTCTAGGCAGAGTAGAGAGAAATGGTGAAGGTGCTTGTCTGTGTAGGAAATAGCCAGGAGTTCAGGGAGGCTGCAGCATAGGGGGTAAGGGGAGGGTGGTGGGTGGAGTCAGAGAGGTGACAGGAAACAGCTCTCGTTGGCCTCAAAGGCTCTGGTAAGACCTCAGTGTTTATTCTGTGTGAGACAGGAAGCCTCCGGAGGGTGTAGAGCAGAAGAGCGTGGTGTTCTGACTCAGTTTTTTAAAGGGTTGTATTGGCTGCTGTGCAGTGAATAAACTGGATCAAGAATGGAAAGAGAATATCTTTTGATGAAGGATGCCAGGTTGGTGAGAGGTGGTGGTGGGGCAGTGGAGGAAGTAGCACTGGGGTGAGAGGGCAGCCCTCCCTGGTCTTGCTGAGGTACATCGAGGATTGTGACTGGGGTAGTATGAAGGGGAAAAAAGATTTGGTTAAGCCTGAAAGGTAGGCAGAGATTTTAAAAAGAGATTGAGATGTGACTGTTTTCTAGATTGCTTTGTTTGTAAAGTAGTTTGACTTCCAGAACCCCATAAACTTAGTATGAGGAGAAGTGTTCGTAGTTTGATATAATTGGACTTGCAATTTTGTTTTCTAGGTGATAGTTCAAGTGTGGATTCCACGGTGAAACTGGGAGCTGTGGGTGGAAGTGGATTTAAAGTTTCCTTTGAGACACCTCATCTGGAAAAGAGATACAAGTAGGTGGTTCTTAGTTATCGGAACGTCTGGGAACAGAAGGAGCCAGCATTTACTCCTAAATTACCCAGTTGTTATCCTGTGCTTGTTGCTGAGTGGAACAAGTAGATACCACACCCGGGTGCTGGTTTTTCAGCCCCATTGGGGAAGCCGCTTACCTGGATTCTGAATCATGTAGGATGATGGGTGCAGGAGAGCCCAAGTAATAAACCAGCCTAAAACCCATTCTTCTCAACAGTCCTTGGTTCTCCAGGGAAACATTGCATGGGAAAGATGGAGATGAATTGACAGGGCAGATTGCATTCACGTACCTAAATGAGGATGTCTAGGTTATTAACATACGGCTGACCTACAGCAGCCTTTGTCTTTGCCTCCACCTACACTCCAAAACCTCTGGGTGCTGTGTTTTGAGGCTTTCAGTTTGGAAATCAGAATACATTTTCCCATGGAAATAATACTAGAAATGACGGGGTGTAATTGAATACCTCAGGTATACTATAGGCATTATAAAATGACCCAGAAGCCAATTTATAAATTATAATGCCATTCCTGTGAGAATCCAGGATTTGAGTCTATTCTTGATGAGTCTGTGCTCTTAATTCCTGCTCTATTCTGTCTCCTGGGAGCATTTATCCCTAAATTAATAGTAATAATAAACTGACTAGAGCAAATAACTGAATGTTTCTTAAATATATGCAATATATTTCATAAATGTATATATGTATCTAACCTGTGTATGATTTGGGGGCTGCCTATATATAATGCTTAGAAGTTTTCAAAGAACATTTATATGGATGATTTTACTTCACAGACTTGAAACTACTAGAGGAAGAAAGTGTAAGGCAATGTAGAATATAGTTTCATTTAGAGAAGTCTTCATGAGGGACGCGGATACTTATCTCGATCCTTGAAGCAGGGGTAGGACTAGGTTAGGATTGCAGAGGAGGATTGGGAACATTGGGTGTGGCGGGCAGAAGAATGTCAGCAAGAACCAGGTGGGGAAGCTCCTGCATGGGCTGCGGAGAGGCTGAGTCCTGGGAGCTGGTTGAGGAGGAAGATTGGGCTAGAGACCCGCTCCTTCAGTGCACGCCGCCGAGGGTTTGCTAGAACTCAAAGGCAAGAAGTGGCCATTATGAGTCCTGCATGAGGCAGCAAAAAGTGCTGTCCTCTGCTGCATAAATAATGCTGCAGAAGATGTTAGAGGCAGGGAGACTCTCAAGTTAATGTATTCATTTTGGTGTGAGATGCTTGGGAAAGGACCCATTCATTCTATTGAAGTCCAGCTCGCTGCTGCAGTTTGGTTTGAATGCTGGTAAGTGGGACAGTGGAAAACCTCTGGGTTTATTAGTGTAGGGTCAACCCAGGGCAGGTAATTTTCTTGTGTGGTCAGATTCATAAATCTAAAGCTCAGAGAATAAGAAACAATATTAAATAAACAGAAACCACATTTTAGAACCAGACAAACAGTATTTTGGGTTTTTTTTAGTATTTGACATCATTTCAGGTTTTGCCTCTACAAATAACTAGGTGTTGCCTATATACAGGGTGGTTCATTCTTCCTTCATTCAGGGAAATCTCAGTGGTATTAAAGTTTCATTCTTAGATATTCTTCAATATTTAAACAGAATTCAGTTTGAGAATAGTGAAGATCAAGAAGTAAATCCACTGAAGCTCAGCTTTCTCACCTGGATCCAAGAAGACGTCTTCCTGGCCGTACGCCACAGTCAGTCCAGCCCACAGTCCGTCATTCACCGTCTCACCGTGGCCTCTTCCGAGACAGATGACCAGCAAGGACAGCTCACTATTAGGTATCACAGCCCTTCTGTGTTCCATGTGGTAATAGGTAGAGTTATGCTTTTCTGTTTTGTCTTTATGAGCATAGGACTTTTTTCGGCTTCTAGTGAGGTAGGTTAAGAGGCAGTAGCTTCCTTGTTAGACACACTTGGCAAGAGGTTAAGTCTAATTTTGAGTCATGTCACAATACAGGCTGAAAATGTGTCAAGCAGTGAAAAAGAGGACAAATACCAACAGATGAGGCAGAACATTTCGAAGTGTGTTAAAATTTTTAATTGAGCATATGCTTACATCCCAGCAAGGCAATTGCTAGCCCATGAGAATCAGTCACTCTGATTACCCTTGTTAGTTATTAAAATCAGTTACGTTATAAGATCTATTTATATGTGCTACATTTTGATGTCTGGCCTCTCTTTACATTCTGTTTGGCACATGACGCATTTACTACTGAATAGTCTCCTCTATTTTTCTTCTTTTAATCATCTTTTTGTTTTTATTTTTTAACTTTATAGTTTCATTGAGGTATAATCAACACACAACAAATTACAAAAATTTGTGTGTACAATTTGATAACTTTTGATATCTGTATGCATCCATGAAGCCATACAATCAGGAAATAGAACATATACTTTCCCCACAAATGTTTCCTTATGCCCCTTTGTGACATAGCCCTTTGTGTCCACCACCATCCCCAATCAGCCAGAGATCTGTTTTCTGTCATGGTAGACTGCATTTTACAGGATTCCTCTATTTTTCTTTGCTAAATTTCACTGCCCCCTAGCCTTGAGTTTCATTTTGATCCCTGACTACGTCTTTGTCATGTAACAGGTTCTGGTTCATGAATGTGGTTTTCTGTAAGGCAAGCCCTGTTGTGCAGTAGATAGATAGCATTGTCTGGGCAGTTCTGGGAAATCCTCAGGTTTCCAGTGTCACATTTGGCACCTTGGGCATACACTGGTATTATCTCTAGCTTCATTTGTAATGAAAGATCTGCTTAGATTTAAACTCTGAAAATATCTTGTAATATCTCCTTTTTTAAATTTTAAATTCTCTTTTTTTAAGAAATCATTTTTTTATTTTTAATTACACTTAGCAAACTATATTTCTGGTGTACAACATAGTGATGAGACATAAAATTTAAAATTATATATAGAAAAAAAAGCTAGAGGCAGTCATTTCATTTACTGAAAAGGGAATGAGAAAGTGATTTAAAAAATATTTCTGTTGCTTTGACCTTTGTTTCTCAAAAAAAGACTGTTTGTTCATATAAAATATCAGTGTTTTTGAGGAATATAAAGTCCCTTGATTAGCTTGCAGCTCTTACTAGCTTACATACTACAGTTCGTCTTTGTAAAAGGTACTCTTCTTAGTGCTTTACCAATATTACGGATGTCTCACAGGACCTCTTTGGAGTATGTACTGTTAGCGTTTTACAGCTGTGACAGCCAAGGCACAGGGCACGGTAATAGCTTGCCTGAGATCCCAGTCCCAGCAAGACTAGCTCCAGAGTCTGTTCTCTTAACTTACAGATAATTTATCCTCACAGACCTTGGAACATTTTGGTATTTCATAGATTGGTTAGAAAATCTTAGACTAAATGTTAGCATTGGAATCATTTTTTTTAATCACTATCTCTTTCACTTCCTTTAAGACATATCTAGTCTCTTTAAGATGTATACATTCATTGACTCAGGAAAAAATACAATGGCAACAGCACATTTCCCCTCTCCCCATGAATGAAGACCCACAGATTTCCATGAACGAATATGATAGTGATAGAGAGTGTTCTATGTTCCTACTGACTCACTGCTTCATTAATGTAGTTTATATTTTAAGAAGACAAAAATATTATTGATACCAAGTATGTCTAATGAAGGTGATAAGTTGCAATAAGTTATAATGAGTTGCTGCCAGAATAGGAATGATGACTTCACAATGTAGACTCCAGCTTATTTGTATTGTGGAAAATAGTGTGATGTGACAGGTAATCGCTTAATCTGGGCTTGTGATTGCAATAGTTTATCGTGTGTATGTGTGTTGTGTATATTGTATTGAAATACGCTGAGTAGCACCAAGAGGAAATTGCTTGTTTCTTTTTCTGTTTTGCAAAATCTGTGAAATGTCACTACTTTTGAGAAAAACTAGATCTATTCACATCCCCTTCCTCCCTTTTTTTACTTTTGTCAGTTCATCTGTGACAGTGGATGGGGTCATAGTCAGCCTATGTTGCAATTCCAAGACCAAGACAGTAGCATTGCAGCTAGCTGGTGGCCAGATACTGAAGTACCTTTGGGGTGAGTATCACAGTTAGGAAAGCATGTTTATGACTTATATGATGTTTCATTGTTAAAAACATGACTTGTATCTTGTCTGTGCCACATTGACTGTTAGGTCTTTTAACTACTCTGGAAAACCCTAAGCTATAGCGAGGATTTGCAGGTGTTTTCTTTTTTTAAAAGATTTTTTATTGATTTGTAGACCGAGAGGAAGGGAGAGGGAGAGAGAGAAACATCATGTGAGAGCAAAACATTGATCAGTTGCTTCCTTCACACCCCCTACCAGGGATCAAGCCTACAACCTGGGCATGTGCCCTAATGGGGAATTGAACCAGCAACCTTTCAGTGCATGGGATGATGCTCCAACCAACTGAGCCACACCGGCCAGGGCGCAGGTGTTTACTACCTGTTTTCTCTTGTAATGAATTGGAATACCCTAATGAGTTTGCAGAATACATTTGGAAAGTAATCCAAATTGCATGTTAAGTGCTTTAGTAAGTATTAATGGGACAGTTTTTTTACAAAGAGCAGATCAGCTCTTGGTAAACCTCCTCTGCTAATCCTGCAGAATCACCTTCTCCATTTGTTGAACCCTGGAAGAACCCGGGTGGATTTCCTGTTCAAATTCCTTATGAATGCACACAGATTGAATTGGCCGTGATTGGAGGGAAGGTAAGTGATCACAGGGCAGAAAAATTTACCACTTAAAAGTAGGGACCCAAGATCTGATAGCATTAGGTACCAAGAGTATGGGCTTTGGAGGTGAGCCTGGATCCACTAAATCATAAGGCAACATTGAGAAGGTCCAGTTCCCTGAGCCCTAGCTTCCTCTGTGAGATGGAATTAAGAGGTTGCCTGGCAAGCAGGCTTTAGTTAATCCCTTCCTCGGAGTTATAAATTTAAAAATAGAATGCAGTTAGCAAACTTTCATCCCCAGTTGTACAGAACAGACACAGTTAGTTTTATTAAATACCTCTTGGGAACAACAGAAATGTAATCTTGAAAGTAGTATTCAGTAGGTTGTCATTCATCAAATATTAAAATGCCTATCATTGTGGTGGGTGGTAGGATACAGTTGTTATAAAGCACAACAGCTATTCAATCCCTTGTTCTTGGGACTTTATACTCTATCAACAGATTATATGATTAGCTCCTCCAATGGGAGAATGAAGGAAACAAGCAGGGTGTAATGACAGAGAATGGTGAGGTGCTGGGGACTAAGTGGAGGATGATAGTTGTGAGGATGGGGGACCTACTTTGGAAAGCTCTATGGTGTGTGTGTACTGAGCTGTGAAGGAAGAGAAGGCTCCCTGAGGAAGGGGGAGTGTCCCAGGGACAAGGAACTACACATCTTGAGCTTGGAAAGAGCTCAGCTTATTCAAGGAACTGAATGGAAGCAGTGTGGCTGGGACTCAGTGAAAGGCCATAGGAAGGAGTGTGGATTTTTTATTTACTTAACAAAGGCAGGAAGATTATTAGTAATTTTAAATCAGCAGAATAATGTGATTTGCTTTATGGTTTGGAATGTTTTCTGGCTGCTGGGTGGGGAGTAGGTTGGAAAGGACGAGTATGGAAGTGACTGTTGGAGTGGAGGCAGTGAGGGCAGAAAGGTGGCATATTTGAGATGCAGGTAGGAGATAGAAATGACAGGGCCTGCAGATGGATGGCTTCTGGACCAACCACATCTAACATATCTATTCAGTCCTGATTACAGAGACTTAGATGTGAAATCACAGGTCAGTAGAACTGTGTGATTGAAAGGTTAGATTAAACTAGTTTGGTTAGAATTGTTTATAATTTCAGTTTTATTTCTTTGCAGGAATATGTCCTTGGTCTGACTAACAGGTGTCGCTTTTTCATCAATGACAATGAGGTATAAAGGCGTGGTTTGGTGACGGATCTTCTTCAGTGTTGTCTCCAAGTAATAAAGCTAAATTTACCCTTGTCTCCCTTACCTTGTAGGTTGCTTCCAATATCACATCATTTGCAGTATATGATGAGTTTTTGTTGTTAACAACTCATTCTCACACCTGCCAGTGTTTTTGTCTGAGTGATGCTTCATTAAAAAGTAAGTTCTCAGTGTATAAAATAGAAAATGGTCCCTCTTCTGCTATCTTTTGTCCTTTGAGGTCTTGATGACTTCTAAGTTCTTCACCTACTTTGGCTTTTGACTGTGGAGTCCTGGACAGGAGAATACCATTAGAGTTTAGTTCCTTCATCCCTAATCTCAGCACAGCATCGCAGTTCAATCATCCTGCACCAGTTAGCAAAGACTTCCAGAAAAAGAAGTCCTTCCTTAAGCAGAATATTCTAAAGTTAAACAAAAATTGTTCAGGAAATTTCATTATATAACTAATATTTTACTGTGAGTTACCAGTAAATACCAAACGAGCAATATGCGGTGACTTCTTTGTAATCTTTTCTCACTGTGCCACCCTCCGCTGTACCCTCTGAAGGATTTCTTCTGGGGTTTGTAGGAAATTGGCTCTGTTTTTTCTTCTATTCCATGCCCACCCATCCACTCATCTTCAACCCCACCCCGCTGTGTGTGTGTATTTTCCTTATTCTGAAAATCCCCACTTGGAAATGGAATCATTCCCTGGTATGATTATAGTGCTAAGAAAGAGAGAAGCTGCCCATTCTCCCTGTGTCTTCCAAGTCAGTTGATGAGTTGTGTGTGAGAATATGCATGAAGGCTCTGAGAGAGGGCAAGTTCGAGGGATGAGACTTTATCAGAAAGGCTGATGGTCTTGAGGTTGAGTGGGAGAGCAAAGGAGCCTGGTTAGTAACTGCTCTCCTGTATTTCAGATAACGTGCGTTTTCAGCTGCAGGTAATGGAGAGTGCCTGGTCATGACAGTGATTAAGGCCCATGTTGTCTCTAGCATTACAGGCAGGTCTGAGCAGCAGTCACGCGTCTAATGGGGAAACGCTGCGGATGGTGGAGCGGGGTTCACGCATTGTCACTGTTGTGCCCCAGGACACAAAGCTGATACTACAGGTAAGCTGATTTTCCAGGCTGTTTCTGATTGCCATTGGACAGTCAATACCAAACAGTTCTTGCAGATTGTATTTTAGGCTCTCTTTTCACTTGCAGTAATTTATTTAAGTCTTTCCTTGCCAGGTTCTATTAGCTTTATTACAAAGGAGTGTTCATACAGGCTCTGCCCAGTAAGGCTAAAAGGGAAGCTTTTCTGGAAAGTCAATATAAATATTGAGCACAACTAGATTCTGCTAAAAGTGTGCTCATTTTACCTCGCGTGGTAGTTCACTGTGAAGTTAGGTAAAGTTGTGTAGCCTGGGTATTTAAATGTTTTCTATTTAATTTAAAACATTATTATTTTGATTTATATATTTTAAGATGCCAAGGGGAAACTTAGAAGTTGTTCATCATCGAGCCCTGGTTTTAGCTCAGATTCGGAAGTGGTTGGACAAGTAAGTACCACGTACAGGACTAGTTAGCTTGTTATGACTTATGTGTGAAGATCATAAGTATCCTTTTAAGGTTTAAAACCTAAAAGTGGAAAACCTTGATTACAGATGTCATCAATCAGATTCTCAGAGGCTTTTTTTTTTACACTTTGATTTTTCTTTTTAATATTTATTAAATTGATTGTGGTGACATGGTCTACACTGATTTTAATGCCATACGATATAGTGACATCTCCAGCAGAAGGGATCATGAAGCTCATCGTGTAAGTCAGGGCTTCCTAGCCTAAGGGGACCCTCGTGGCTTTAGATGGGACACTGCACCAATTGACTCTGCATGTCTTTCTAGGCAGGAGGCCCAAGGCTTTCTGGTTCGCAGGGGGCCCATGACCCAAAGTGCCTGAGCCACTGTTAGGAGGGAAATGATCCATTGTCTGACTCGGTACAGGAGAAGCTTTGCATTATTTTGTTAAGAAAGACCTAAGTTCCATGATGAGTGTGTCTGTGAGGATGTAGTCCTCATCCTGCCATGATGATTAAATCATTCCTTTTCAGAAGGTAAATGAATTTGGTAGCCGATTTTTTTATTCTGTGATTTCAGAGTGAAAATCCATTAGCAGTTGTTTGGCACTTGGGCTGTAATCTCATTAGAACTGGTTTGTATCATAATGAAAACGTGCTGGGTCCGGGGAGCTTAGTTTTTGTGAAATGCCTTCTTTATCCATTCTCTTCACAGGCTTATGTTTAAAGAAGCATTTGAATGCATGAGAAAACTGAGAATTAATCTCAATCTGATTTATGATCATAACCCTAAGGTAACTTTCTCATGCTGCTGTTTACCCTAGCTTACTTTAGACTTGAACTAATGTGATCTGAACTAAAATGTTTTGTCCTTTTTTTTGGGTAGGTGTTTCTTGAAAATGTGGAGTCCTTCATAAAACAGATAGATTCTGTAAATCATATTAATTTGTTTTTCACAGAATTGAAGTAAGTATTTTGAATAATTCATGAGTATCATAGTCATGATTTTCTCTCTTCTAGTTAAGGAAATCAAATAGATAGATAGCTAGAGGAGAAAAATTAATGTCTAGTATTTTTTTTATCACTATAACTCTTAACCATATGTACTGGATCTTTCCTTTTTAAAAACAATCTATTTAAAACTAAGACTTTAAGTATGTAGGTCAGAATTATTATTTGACTTTATTTTTAGGTAGTCATATAAAACTGTTTTTATGAGTTTAAAAGAAAATGGTGTATTCTTATGTCTGCATTGACCATTTCTCCAACTTTTTAATGAGAAATTTGAAACATAGAAAATTGAGAGAATTGTCACATGAGCATCCTATCCCTCCACCTAGATTCTAGAATCCATATTTTTCTATATTTGCTTTATCACTATTTGCCACCTGTTCATGCATCATCTATTTTTAGACTAATTTCCAGGTAATTACATCAGTGTACCTGTACCTCAGTATTTCATTTTGCATAGCACTATCTAGAGTGTATCTTATCGTTTGCATACAGGGTCCCGCTGTATTTATAGTGAAATGCAACGATCAGTGTACCCTTCAGTGAGTTTTGACAAATGTATGCTTCCATGTAACCTGAACCTCCACCAGGTTCCCCCCAGTCCCTTCTCAGTCAGTCCCTGACCCCTAGGCAGCCACTGTTTTTGAGTTTTACACCATGGATCAGTTTCACATGTTCAGGAACTTTATAAATGAACTCAGAATATTTATTTTTCTGTATAAACAAAGCTTCTTTCCCATAGTGTATATTATCTTGAGATTCATCCATTTTACATGTATTCAAGATCCATCTTATTTATAACTCAATAGAATGCCACTGTATAAATATACTAGTTTGTTCATCATTCCCCAGTGATGGACATCTAGTCTGTGCCTCGTTTGGGCTCTCTGGATAAAACACCTATGAATATCACTGTACAGGTCTTTTGTAGACATGTTTTCATTTCTCAATAAATTTCTCCGTTTTTTATCTTATATGAGTATTTTTATAATTAAACTGTTTTCCAATAGCTTTTTTAAAAATAGCTAGCTATTTTTATTTATTGTCTCATCAGCACACTTGGTTTTATGTGAATGGTTTGAGAGGGGACACAGGTTCAGTTAATGACCTTTTAATACACACTTGTTCTTAGGGAAGAAGATGTCACAACTACCATGTACCCTCCACCAGTTCCCGACACTGTCCCACAGTCCAGGGGACTCGAGGGGAGTAAAGTAGACCTTATCTGCGATGCCATGCGAGCTGCCATGGAGAGCATAGACCCTGACAAGTACGTGTGCCGCGTTAGGGGCATCTTGTGAATGACACAAGCACATAGCTGTCCTTACTCTGTTCATCCTTCTCATCCTGTGTTGCTCTTCGTGTCTGACCTCAGGTACTGCCTGTCCATCCTCACCTCTCATGTGAAGAAAACAACCCCAGAACTGGAAGTTGTGCTGCAGAAGGTACACGAGCTTCAAGGTAGAGACCCGTTCACAGAAAGAGGGTGTTCGGGGCCTGATTGTCTCAGCCTTCCCAGCTCGGGAGAGCACGCTGACCAGGACCAGGGTCACAGCCCGGATTTAACTTGTGGCCTTTGAGGGGCCATGTTAAGATCTGTGTCATTCTTTTCAGTGCTGCATGTACAAAAGGATCAGAGATATCTGTCTATTGGAAAATGTGTTTCTTTGTCTTCTGGTTATGATGCCAGGTGTGTGGGTTTTTGCCCAGATGGTTTTGTTCTGTTTTGTTTTCTGACACCGACAGGAAGCACTACCCCTGTTTCTGATGGTGTGAGTGCTGAAGAGGCCCTGAAGTATTTGCTGCTGCTGGTAGATGTGAATGAATTATATGATCATTCTCTTGGGACCTATGACTTTGATTTGGTCCTCATGGTAGCTGAGAAGTCACAGAAGGTATGTGGAGTTGCTACTTTGCCATCTTTTTGGTTCTCGTTTATGTAATCATGGCAGCATGAATCCCTCTCCTAATGGAGCAGTGTTCTGCCCGATATTGTCCTGGGAGCACAGGGCTGGAGGCAGATCTGAGAGTCTCCGGGCCCATGCTTCTAAGTGCCATTCTCTATCATAGTTCTATGCTTATCAAAGTGTTTTGATTGCTAGGTTGAGCAAGTGAAATAAAATTATGTGGTTATTTTTAAGATTATAGGCGTATGTGTGAACAAATTTCTCCTCTTATCAAGGAAATAGAACAAACGAATCGTATTCCAATTCAGGTCTCTATTTTATAGCTCATTTTTCTAGTGGAAAGTAGGAACATGGAAAATAGAAAGGTTTGGGGCCTCTGTCCCCCTTAGCATGCTACAGTCAAAATGTTTGAGCGCCCCTGGCCTGCACCTTTTTAATCTATTGTACAGCCTTGGTTTCATCCCCTACCATTCCTTTCTTTGCTCTTGTCAGAGTGACCTTTCCAAAAAAGAAAACTTGATCCTTTATTTCTCTGTTTTAAATACTTTATAGTCCCCATGGCCCCAGCATGGAATTCAAAGGCCGTAATATTACTTAAACATCCTCTGTGGTCTGTTCCCTGTGTATCTCTGTCCTCGTCTCTTCACGTTGTCCCCTTTTCTCTGCCCGTGGAGGAAAGGCAGTGCTTTTGTTCCCTTAGCCACCACACACCTTTGTGGATAACATGACTTCTCCCTCCCCCCTCCCCCTCCCCATTCACCTGGCTAATTCTCACTCATCTTGGTTAAAGGGTGCCAAGGTGGCACCTGCCCAGTATACCGTTCTTTTTCTTTTTTGGTGCCCTGATGGGATCGAACCCACAATCGGGATGACACTCTAACCAACTGAGCCACCTCAGCCAGGGATCCCAGTAAGCCATTTTTGCCTCCCTGCCCACTGCCCAGGGATTGGAGGAGCTGGCCCCCATGTAATCCACTGCACCGTGTCTACCCCTGCAGCCCAGTCTGTCCTCTTCTAGACTACCTTTCCTGAGGTTCAGGGTTATGTTGCATCCCTTGTACATGACTGAATGTTTTGGCCTGTAGTTATCTCCTACATCACATGCATGAACACTGATTATTTACTCTCGATTTTTTTCCTGTATTGTTCTTATGTGTCTGCCAGTGAAATTGAATTAAGAACAGGAAGCATCTCTTCTTCAGGAAGAAAATAATTTTTTTACGGGGCATGGCACAGAGCTGGAGAGTATCAGTGCCAACAAAAACTTGGTTGACAGGGCCTCAGAGTTTTGTGTCCAACTCAGTATAACTATGCCTTTGCAAATGGAGGGCTTGACATGTCTTGGAAACAGCTCTAAACACAGTGCCTTGCACTTTTAGGAGAAACTTGGATGCATTTGTTGAATATCTTACAGATTGGAACCTTGTTTCCTTATTAGCCTATGAAATAAGTATCTATTGTGAGACTTAGGTAAGAAGTAGTCATTATTCCTAATGAAAGCTAATAACACCCATGTGTTAAGCATTTTCATCAAAAGTATTATGGTCCTAGCTGGTTTGGCTCAATGGATAGAGTGTTGGCCCTCAGACTAAAGGGGTTCGATTCCAGTCACAGGCATGTACCTTGGTTGCAGGCTCAATCCCCCGCCCAGGTCAGAGTGCATAAAAGAGACAACCAATCGGTGTGTATCTCTCACATCAATATTTCTCTCTGTCTCTCCCCATCCCTTTCACTCTCTCTAAAAATTAATGGAAAAAATATCCTTAGGATTAGCAAAACAAAAAAAAAAGTTGTATTATGTAGTTTAGCTTTTTCTATCTATATATATGTAAAAGGCTAAGTGTCCATCTGACCGGTAGCCATGACACGTACTGACCACCAAAGGGCAGACCCTCAACACAGGAGCTGCCATGGCGCACACTGACCATTTAAAAATAAATGGCACCACAGACCTGACGCCGACAAACCAACACTCAGTTTCCCCCAAGTGGGATACAGGCCCTGCCACCACCCCGGAGTGACACCCCACCAAATCACAGCCAATGCTGCCACGACCCCATGGCACAAAATGCGGCCCACAGCACAGCTTGGAAACGGTCACTGTGGGCACTGGGTAATGACATCACGTAGCAACGCCTGGCTTCCTCTCCCTAGTAACTAGTCTCCTTGGAGTTTCTGCAGCCCAGGAACTCGGCTTGCTTTATAGCCAGGTGCAAACATTTTACAGTTTAACCAAATGTCTATGAAGCTTTTTCATGTGCCTCATCTCATTTGATACTCACAGAAGTCCTGGAGTAGGTAGCTAGGAGACTTGGTAAAATCCTATTTTCTTTTCATTAGCCGTAAAATGGAGATTTAGAAAGTTTAGAAACTTGACCTGACTGAAAAGAAGAAAGAAATGGTGGACCTTGAAAATGACTTCAGGTTATCTCACTGCACAGAATATAGTCAAACACGGCTACAGTTAAATATTTTACCCTTTGTTCTCCCTGCGTGATCTACAATAATAATCTGCTTTGTGTTGATATTTACTGCTGTGTTGCTGACAATTACCTGAAAGAGAAGTTGGGGTGCTTCACTGGGCTGGAAAAAGTTTAGCTAAATCAGAAAGCAGGTCTAATTAAGCAAGTTTATTCTATATCTATAAAAGGCTCAGTTGACTCATGCACACACAATACATATAAAGCTCTCACTGGTGCCAATCACATGCGTGTGTTTTGATCTGTCATTGTCAATCATTAATTTGGTTGACACTTCTATTACAGAGAAAGGACAAATAGCGATATTAAAATATTTCTTCTAATTAATTTCCTTTCAATGTGCACGAATCCATGCACCGGGACACTAGTATTACATAAAAAGTAATCAATATATTAATATGATACCTATTCTTAAAATTATGTAGCTTTGGATTTACTGCTATAATTATTATATGTTTATTTTTATAAGTAAATATGATCATAAGCAATAAAGTTCTATTTATAATTTTTTTTAGGATCCAAAAGAATATCTCCCATTTCTTAATACACTTAAGAAAATGGAAACTAATTATCAGCGGTTCACTATAGACAAATACCTGAAACGGTATGAAAAAGCCATTGGCCACCTCAGCAAATGTGGTGAGTATGAGGATTATTATGCTCATTTCCACTTCAGATTTTCTTTGGAAGTAGGCAGGGTATAAATTAAGATAAAATGTTAGTTTAAACACACACTGCTTTCAATTTCCACTCCTGAAATCTTTAACAATTACATAAGTACACCTGATTTTATATGTTCTGAGAACTGAGGATAAAGCAAGTGTCTTTTAAAGAGCTGAGGGGCTCTGCAGCTAGGGAAATAGAGGTCCTTTTTGGGTTAAGAATGATTACCTCCTAAATTCACTTCAGTGTCTCAGAATCAAAATTAGTAGATAATTCGCTGTTCTCATGGTGTTTGCAAACACCTGAAGGAAGCCTGGCTTGTCTAGAGCGAGGTGCCCACTGCAGTGCCCTGGAAGCCAGTCTTACTCATCAGTGATGGGGTGGGCCAAGCACGGTGGCGGGTGCTCTGCTCCCAACCCCCCCTTCACCCAGCCCTGGCCTGGGCTGCAGCCTCTGGCTTCAGCAGTTGCGATTCCTTCCTGAGGGCTGGGAGGGGGCAGGGAAGAGTCACTAGGGCGCTTGTTAAGCATTCGGCTGATGGCTTCCGTGGAGAACTGATTCAGTTGGGCTGGGCAGTACTCGGGCGTGTGTATGTTTAATACGCATCCCAGGAGATTCTTATTTAGGAGGTTGACCCAATTGGGCTGGATGGTCATTGATCAGGGGTAGTGTGAAAAAGTTTTGTAAAGTAGAACTCTGATCCCAGGCATTGCTTCTCATACCTCAGAATCTTAAAATTCAGATTACTGGATTCTCTTCTCCAGATTTTCTGATCGTGCAGGTCTTGGAATCGCCCCTGTTGATTTTGTTGAGAGATCGTTGGTAAAAATGAATCCTTTCTCCTTCCAAGTCTTAAGCTTCTGTGTGTATGAATCTTATTCCTGCAGGACCCGAGCACTTCCCAGAATGCTTAAACTTAATAAAGGATAAGAACCTGTATAATGAGGCTCTGAAGTTATATCCACCAGACTCGCAGCAGCACAAGGTGCGTGGTGTATGAAATGTGGCACTCCTGGTTTTGCTTTGTGCCTTAGTTGGAAAGGGTGAGGGTCCTGAGTCCATAACACTCCTTGGTTTCAAGGTTCATCTTCAGACAAATTAGCCTCACCTTGAACTTCTTATCTGAGACAGTGGTTCTGACCTGTTCCTACTCTGAAGAACTTGGGCAGGCCAGAAACCTAGGCATTGTCCCAGATTCCTTGTGGAGAATACCCACACAGCTTCCACGTGGGCCCCTGCTTCCACCACCCTCTGCAGCCTGGCCTCTCTGCTCCATGACTGTTCATCCTGCAAAGTGCAGATCTTTCTCATTGATGAGCTAAATATATAAGTCCCATAAAAACGTGATAGTGGTGTGCACAGTTTATAGATGAGGAAACAACTTGCCTAAGGACCTGGGGCTGTAAAGCGGCTGACCTAGGCTACGGATCCCATGCTGTTAGCCACTGCTCACTGTGCCATCATCCATCGCCATCATTTCCAGTTCATCTGCAAATTGCTCACATCTTTCTATGATCGGGTTCGTGACCACCTCTTCAGCGCCCACTGCATCTGCCAACCCTCTACCTTCCCCTTCCTTTAGCCCCACTTGTTCTTCAAAATGTTCAGGTCTCCTCTGCCAGGAAGCCCGTGCTCTCTCTGCTTGTCGCACCAGCCTTCTTGTGTATTCCTCCTATATATTCCATACATGTTCCTGCCCGGTGGCCATGGTGCCTTCCATGCTCTCGGCCTGGAACACTCTCCCTCACTCTTCATGTGGCTTATTGTCACTGCTCCCTGGGCCTTTACCGCTGCAAGTCCTTACTCTATTCCTAGAGCAGGAACTTGGTGGTGGTTCTTGTTCCTGTTTGGTTTTTTGCTGGTTTGGTTTTATTTTTGCACTGCACTATCATTGTCACTGTCCTGAATAGTACCCAGTAATTATTTGTTAAGTGAATAAATGGCACATCATCAGTAAGGTTTTGAATGGAAGAATGATTGAATTCACTGATCAACTGTAGGACTTTCCTAAATTCAAGAGTTTCAAGCATAGCAACTAAGGCAGCATATAATGGAGACTTAAACATTGATTGTCACCTTTCCTCACCAACTCTACATCTCTTGTCACAGGATATCAGCATTGCTTACGGGGAACACCTGACGCAGGAGCACCTCTATGAGCCAGGGGGGCTGGTGTTTGCCCGCTGTGGTGCCCACCAAAAAGCTCTTGATGCCTTTGTGGCTGCTGGCAGCTGGCAGCAGGCTCTCTGTGTGGCGGCCCAGCTTCAGCTGAGCAAAGAGCAGCTGGCTGGCCTCGGCAGAGCTCTGGCAGGTAAACACGCATGAGGTTCCCCAAAATGAGAACTTCTCCAGAGGTTTTTTGTTTGTTTTATTTGGCAATTTTGCAAAGAAATTTAGGGCAGCATACTTTAAGGTAGTCTCATACTCAATAAAAATTAATTTGGAATGCTTTACTAAGTAGAGTAAAGGTTAAACTGCTACAACGGGAGTCCTAAGATGCAATGGTGTAATAAAGCAATTTATCTCTCATCTGACTAGTCCTTCCATTGTGTGGCTCTGCCATCTCTTGGGCAGAGAGCTGTAGCTGGGTTGATCTCATCTCCACTCCATTCCTTGGGGTGCACACTTACCTTTAAGTTGGAAATGACCTACAAGTTACACTATCACTTCTCCATCTTGTTCACCAACACTAACATTATGTGGCCACACTTAGTGGAGTGTAACTGGATGGCCATGTGCTCTATGTAAAGATAAAGATGATTTTTGAAGTGAGGCTATTCGGTATAGACAGTAGATTGTTGGAAACCATAATAGCAGTTTTCAGAAATGAGGTAAGAGAAGAGGCCAAATGCATAAGCATTTGCAGTTTAGAAACAAAGGCAGTTTAGGTGTTTCAGGGTCTAAGGACTGATCGGACCAGAGGCGAGGCTATACCAAGTCTGACTTCTTAGAGCGGAGGAAAGGTTAAGGTCTGCCTGTGAGAAGGTGAGGAGAGGGTCTGGTCCTCTGGCCTGTGCTTAAAGTAAGAGATTGATTAGTATGTTATCCCCTTACCCTTTCAGGAGACTTGTACATATTACTTCTTTATTAATTATTATTATCTCTAAGGGGAAAAACAAGCATTCCTGAAAAACCAAATTATATCCTGTTAAATGTATATACATATTCTCATTTGAATTATTCTTTTCTTTGGGATTATAAAAGTGTGTAAGATTATCACTTTTCCTTTTCTGGCATTTTCTGGTTATTAGATAAACTACTTTATTATGCCATTGTGTCTTAGGACTCCTGTATGTAGGCTCTTCATTAAGCCCTCTCAATTTCCAAGCTGAACTCTTTTTACAAGTGTGAGAATTTTTTATTTTAGCCCTTTTAGTTATTCATTCTGGCTCCATTGTTACTTCTGCTCTAGAAACTGGTGTTATTGGTAGTTTACTAGTATACCTTCTAGCTCTATGATCTATGATCTGTGATCATTTTTTTTATTCTTCACAACTCTTAGTTTGCATTTGCCTTATGGTGGAAAACACCTAGTCCTCCAGGTGTTTAGCAGAAAATGGTGGGGAAGGCAGTGGCCAGAAATATTTGAGAAATATTAATATGGTGATATTTGAGAAATGTTATATAGTAGAGTCGTTTCATGTGCACATGAACTTGATTAATTTACATGAGACAGCAAAAAAAAGAAAAGATAGGTGACTCTGTTTTGTCAGTGATAATGTGTCCTGGAGTTAACCTGAGATGGGAGGCATGAATCTGCCAGCCCCTTAGTCAGCCTTGGGTTCTATGTATCTCTTGTAGTGTGATTATCTCAACTGGTCTGACTATGATCTAAAAACACTGCATGACCCCAAACATAAGCCAACTAGCTCCATCTAGTGCTCAACCAAGCAAATAGCAGTTTCTCCCAATACAGGACAAAATGGATTAGTGAGAGTTATTAGGTCAGTTTCCCTTATCCATGCCTTTGTAAGCATTTTTCATGGCTAATTTTGATTATACATGATTTTCACATCTCATGCTAAATTTAGATTGTAAACTCCATTCAAGATAAACTCCATGGTATTCCTGCCTCTTTCCCTCAAAGAAATTCACAAAGTACATAGTTTGATACATAATGAAGACATAGTAATGAAACACTGCAGCAGAAAAATCTGTTTCACTGTGTTTTACCCAAAGCTTTCTAAATTTATTTGATCTGCAAATGATTTTTTGGTACCTCTTTCATTAACCTCTGCAACAGTCTTAGCACTTATGAAATGCTGTTTTAAAGCAGTCATATTTGAATGTATACTTGTACTCTGTAGAGCTCAATCTCCAATTTGTATGAGACCATTTTTACTTAAATAGTGCTACCCAAAACCATTTTAACTTGGGTTTTGGTGGAACTGTTGTTCTTAGCAAGCCAGCTATGGTCAAATGCTTCTTGTTACCTTTGCAGGAAAGCTAGTTGAGCAGAGTAAGCACAGTGAGGCCGCCACAGTTTTGGAACAGTACGCCCAGGTAAGCTCAGTTCCTCCTTTCTAAAACTGCCCTATTATCAAGCAAGGACTTTCTAGTTGTACCTTATAGATGATGAAAATTTAAAAAACTGTGGGTAGGCCCTGGCCAGGTAGCCCAATTGGTTAGAGCATCGCCCCGATATGCCAAGGTTTCAGGGTTAATCCCCAGTCAGAGCACATATAAGAATCAACCAGTGAATACATAAATAAGTGGAACAACAAATTGATGTTCTCTTCTCTCTCTCTCTCTCTCTCTCTCTCTCTCTCTCTTTTCTTTCTCCTCTCTCTCTAAAATCAATCAGTAAATTTTTTTAATGTGATAAAAAAAGAACAATTGTGGATAATTAGGACGTTCAGAGATACTTTGCCCTAATGTCTTCCATCTTGCTGACTTGACTTGGAAATCTAAATTCAATATATCTCTATATAAGTGCTGGGAGGTAGAACACTAACGAGTTCTACTATAATATGTTCTAGTGGTTGACCTTGGTAGAAAGTACTAAATTTCAAGGGAGTCGTACTTTTTATGTTAATTTGGCAAAATAGAAAGAGTGAGAAAGAACCATTCTCAAACAAGGTGATTGACTTTAAATACCTTTTTGGCTTTTACACTCATTCTCTTTACGGGAAATATCTCTTTTACCTCAGCATATTTTTATATCAGTACAACACACACACACACATAGGTCAAAGAAAACACATCCTACTATGTCCCTTTGTGAACCTGTGGTGTGGCCCTGTTAGTGTGGCACGTGCCAGATGCTCCATTGGGGTCTGTCTGGGAAGAAAATTTTTATTTTATCTTTTTAATTAAAAGTAACTATTTTTTATGCACCCTGATGAGGGATCAAACCTGCAACCTAGGTATATGTCCTGACCCAAAATTGAATCCGAAACCGTTTTAGTGCACAGGACGACGCTCCAACCAACTGAGCCCCTGGCCAGGGTGAAATGGGCCTTTTTAGCAGATCTGTTTGGTGGTTTTGAGGCTTAGGGAAACAGGGAGATGATACTTACCTTGTGCTCTTTGCAGAATGCATTCCCTCCTTTGTGTTTTGGATCAATATGTATTGAGCATGTGCTCTAGGCCAGGCAAGGGATAGAACTGGGACCAGAGGATAGCTGGGAAGGCAGAGGGGCTTCTGACATGCTTGCTCCCTTAACCTGCTCTTTGCCTTAATGTTCCTTTGTCAGGATTATGAAGAAGCTGTGCTCTTGCTGTTAGAAGGAGCCGCCTGGGAAGATGCTCTGAGACTGGTAGGGGAATGTTTACAACCCTCCCAGCATTAGGTGCTGAGCAGAGCAGAGCAGGAGTGTAGGGGGGGTGGTCAGCTGGAGTGCCTTCCCTCTGAGCTCGTGAAGTGAAGTGGTAGTTCAGTTCCCACTCTAAGGACAAGCAGTGATTTTTAAACCATTTAAAAATGTATTCTTGATGTTGGGAATTAGTTGTTCCTCTAAGTGTGAAATATTGCTGTATTACTAAAATGAGTTGCATTTCCAATGGTTGTCTTATAGGAGGCTCGCTCCTCTGAAAAACACCCGGGTCACCTGTGAAGTGATCCACTTCTTTCTAAGTGTCTGAACTCTCTGGCAACTTGAATGTTTCCTGCCTAAAATTACTGTCTGTTTCCTCTTAGGTTTACAAATATAACAGGCTGGATATTATAGAAACCAACGTAAAGCCTTCCATTTTAGAAGGTGAGGGTTCCATTTAAATAGAATTTCTCATTTGGAAGTGGAGGGGTGAGGTGGGAGAGGGTTCCTGGTGTTATTACATCCTTGGCTCATGTGTTAAATGGAGTCCGTCAGAATTCTTCACTGATGTAGCACTTAATTCTGACCAGGGCTTTTCATAGGCTAACCATTTAGATGGTAGTACATGAAATACTTGAGGGTTAAAAGTCTGTGATAAGATAGGAATGAGAACCTTTGCATTTGGGAACAGTTGATTAACTTGAAAGGAATAGTATTGTATCAATACATAATTTCCACATTTAATCATTATATTGTGTTTATATTAGGTAATATTAGATAATGTCTTTATTCTTAAGAAAGAGCTGCTGAAATATTAAGAAGGGGTCATATCTGCAACTTATTCTCAAAAGTTTCTACAAAAAATAATGGTGAGAGAGAGTGTGTAGAAACTAGAAGCCCAAAATATGGCAAAATGTTAAGAATTGGTAAATTGAGGTTCTGTGTAGGATTTATGTATGTATATTGAACTATTGCAACTTTTCTGTAGGTTTGAATTTTTTTCAAAATGAAAATAAGAACCTTCGCAAATGAGGTTGCTGGTTCCTAGAGTAGATATGTATTTCCAGGTTTAGAGTACTCTGGTGGTCACAGCGACCCTCCCAAGCTCAGCTGAAAAGAAGGACATCAGCTTGACTTGTGGAAATCTTTGGGAGTCGGGGGTTGACTTCCATGCTGCCATTTTTAGTGCAGTCTAGGTGTAAGTAAGGTCTAGTCTTCCTGACATTGACATGTGCTCACGTTCCTACCTTGCCTGTTCCCTTCTCCCATTCTAATTAAAATGAGGAGGGTTCTTTCTGTACCATTCACTTTGGGTACCCGGGTCTGGGTACTGAAAGCATCCTTCCTGGCCCCACAGCATCCATTAGCCAGCTCTTACTTCAACTATCTCCACCGTTGAGGACATAGGAAAACGCTGACAGTTCATCTGCATAGGCCGCACACCTGTGTTTGGGAAGCATGTCAGTGACTTTCCTCCTGTTTGTGTTAACAGCTGCCTGTGCTCTCCTTTTGTTTGCCAGTCCTGTTTGGGTTAGGCATCAAGTCTGTTCAGGTGATTTTGTATGTTTAGTGGTAAGAGTATTCTAGGATGATGTCCATGAGTTCTAAGATCTGGAATTTCAGTTTAGTTCATTCTCCTAAAACGGTGTAGGTTAATACTCATTCGGAAAAAAACCTTCCTTGGAAAACCTAGTAACCTATTTCTTTTTGGTAAATTCCAGCTCTCACCTTTCCCCTCTAGTTTTCTCTTTGTGCTTAAACATCATGCTGAAATTATTTTCTATCTTCACCCCCCCAGCCCAGAAAAACTATATGGCATTTCTAGACTCTCAGACAACCACTTTCAGTCACCATAAAAAACGTTTACTGGTGGTTCGAGAGCTCAAGGAGCAAGCTCAACGTGTCTATCTGGGTGAGTGTTACATGGAAACCATCGGTGCTGGGATGGGTGGTGGTGGGTGGGGGTCGACAACATACCACACTTTGTCTTGACTGCTTATTGTACCTCCTGTGGTGTGGGAACTGTGTCGTGGGGAGTCTAAGCCTCTGTGAAAGTCTTTGGTGTGTGTGTGTGTGTGTGTGTGTGTGTGTGTGTGTGTGAGAGAGAGAGAGAGAGAGAGAGAGAGGAGGGGAGGGATTGGGAGCAGCACCAAGCACGAATTGGAAGAACTCTGGCAAACCTCCCCCTCACCCCACTCAGCCAGAGTGTTTGACCACTGTGTTTTATAAAATGAGTCTCCTCATTTCTAAAAGTTCTTTTGCTGTAATAAAAAGGAAGAAAAGACTAAAGTGGTTTGGTACTGATGTACTGGTATACCAGTATAGTAATAAATGTATTTAATATTATCTCATTTCATTTTGAGATCAACTTTGTAATAATTTTCATCCATCCTTAGTTATGCCCTGGTTAACTATAACCCACCTACCCCGCTGAAGGTAAACCCACATTAGCAGAAAGTTTTCATTCCGCATCTGGTTCTTTTCTAGATGATGAGGCGTCCCGCGGTCAACAGTCTGACCTCTTCTCTGAAACTAGCAGTGTCATGAACGGCAGTGACATGAGTGGCAGATATTCCCATAGCAACTCCAGGATATCAGCGTATGTATCATGTTTATCCATCACACCCACCGTACCCTGGGCAATGGAGAAAGTCCAAGTAAATGGGTCGGTTTTCTACCAGGATGTTGCTCCAGGAGCCGGAGGACATTCAAGGCCATGTGGAAGTTGTGCAAGGCCTGTCCCAGCACATCCAGTAGGTTAGACCCGTGTTCACATGTTTCTGCTGCAGCTTCATGGCCTGTGTGCTTACCCAGTGCCCACACGGACTTCACACTGTGTACTCAGTTCATAAAACATCTGATTTTATTCACTTAATAAATATTATGTGACTATAATGGGTGGGCACTGAAAAAATGAAAATATTATAAAGAAACATGATTTTAGGCTTCTTCAATTCAAACTCAGGATTGGAAGAGGAAATAAATATGTCATCACACTTTTACTCAGTGTAGCAATTTGTAGAAGTGTTACTGAATGCCTATATGCTAGTTGTAGTTAAGGTTGCAGGAAACTTTTAAGGAGATCTGAGTTGTAAGAGCTAGAGCCTTAATGGGGAGACTGAACAAGGCAAGATTATATAATTTAACTGAATTGATCTTGAGGATGGGGAGTGATCAGAAACTGTAAGAAAGGCGACTAGAATTGGGCTTTTCAGAGTTGGGGTGAGCCCAGCCGGTGTGACTCAGTGGTTGAGCGTCAGCCTATGAGCCAGGAGGCAGGTCATGGTTCCATTCCTGGTCAGGGCACATGCCTGGTTGCAGGCTCAATACCAGTAGGACGTGAACAGGAGGCAGCTGATCAATTATGCTTTCTCATCATGGATGTCTCTCTCTCTTCCTCTCCTTTCCTCTCTGAAATCAATAAAAATATTTGGGGAAAAAGTTGGACTGGGAGAGCCCCAGACAAAAGGAATGGCATATTAGTGACCTAAGGCAGGAAAGACTATTGGATTCATATAGATTTCATTATGTTCAAATTCCAATCTAGTATGTCTTTATCTTCTAATTTAAGTTTTATTTTGTTGCCTTTGAATTTGTTTTTTATTATAAAATTCAAGTTCAATGTTCTCTTTATTGTTTAGCTCTTATTATCAGATGTGACCTCATTTTAGTCTGTACTTCAATGAAAGCATCAAGGCCAGATAATACTTTTTAGGGTTTTCCTTATTCCTGCCTGTAAGACTTGCCTCTCCAAGTTTTGTGGGGGGTTTTTTTAAATCACTTTTAACACCTCATCACCATTTCTCCCAAGTACAGATACCATCTGTAGATGCCTGGTTTCTCAGAAAGTTAGTGGCAACAGGTACATTCATTTTAATATGTTCAGCACAAGGAGAGCCCTTTATAAATCTCTCTCTAATTCCTAACAGGCGATCATCTAAGAATCGCCGTAAGGCAGAGCGGAAGAAGCACAGCCTCAAAGAAGGGAACCCCCTGGAGGAGCTGGCCCTTTTGGAGGCTTTGAATGAAGTGGTGCAGGGCACTGAGAAATTGAAAGGTATCTGCTCAATACTGACTGACGGGTCCTGCCCTCAGACAGATAGGAAATGGACAGCACAGACAGACAGAATTTCTCCAACTAGAGGAAAGACCAGAACCGTCAACAGGAAGTGTCATTTTAGGGCGCATTCCTGAAACAGCCCTTGCCAGCCCGTCACCAGAAGCCTCCTTCTATTGGCATCCGGTACTTGAGCTGGGAGAGCTGAGCCCTGAGGCGAGATGAAGGGCTGTGGGTCACTGCTTCCTGCCGGGGCCCTTGGTGTGTTTTCCTGTTGTAGAGGATGTCGGATTACTCCGGCATTGGGGAAGGGAGGAGAAAGTGTGGGAGATGACGGCTGTAGTGTGATAGTAAATGTTTTTTCTGTGAGCGAGAAACTGTGGACACAACTGAACGCTCCCTCACGTTTCTGTCCTAGATGAAATACACTGCATTTTAAAGGTGCTCTTTCTCTTCGAGTTCGATGAGCAAGGAAGAGAATTGCAGAAGGCCTTCGAAGATACCCTGAAGCTAATGGAGAAGTCCCTTCCAGAAATTTGGACTCTCAGCCACCAGCACTCAGTTACGCCTGTAAGTTTTCCTCAAAGACAGAAGGTGCATTTTTTCATCATTTCACAGGTTATGTCACTCACACAATCTCTTACAAGTCAAAGCAAAAGACTTTCCTGTCCTTAAAACATACTTTGCCACAGTTCAGTTATCTGAGACTTACGTTGAAGCGGTCGCTAAGATTTTCTTTGACTTTCCAGTGACTGTTACACCGAGGTTGCTGAGGTTGCGTTCCCTTTTATTTCTCCTCTCTGCATGGAACACTGTCCTGCAGAATATGGGACGGTCAGACAGTTGCCCCTGGCCTTCGATGAGCTTGAAGTGGGGGTGGGAGTGTTCAGACTTAGGGGTGGTATCAGAGTTCTCTAAAGGAAGCCCAGACAACTGCTCTTCCTTTTGTTTGATGTTAAATCTGACTTGTTACTTCTGTGTTGTTATGACGAGCCTTGCTGATTATGCTGAAGGGTGTTTGTGTCCCATCAAGAATGACAGTAACCGTGGGAAACTGCTGAAAGAGCAAAAGGGAGAGTTTGTGGTTGTTAGGATTTAGAGGTTCGCAGGCTTGGCCCTGCCGAGCTGGTTCCTGACCCTCTGTGAAGAGGGTGCCAGCCAGCTGGGGCTGGTATTTCTGAGGAGACATAATGATGCCAGTTCTCTGTATTGGAATGAACTGACACGAATGAGCAACTGCTGATGGTATAAAGAGCTACTGTGGAGTGAAAGGAAGCCAACACAAGGAGCAGATTCCTCCTCCCTCCAGCCCTGCTCTCTCCCTCTGGTGGGGAGCAGCTGACAAGGGAGTGTCTTCTCAGGCTCCCAGCCCCAGCAGTGTATGGGTGGGTGGGCTTGGGGCTCTGGGAGAGGTTGGTAGAAACACACAAGTGTACTGGGCCTCGACTCCTCACAAAGGGATCCCTGTACACCTTAGGATATGTTTTGAATGTTAAATAAGAGGAGAGGTGTAAAAGCATCTTACAAACCATACAAATAAAAGCAACTAAAAATCATTACCCTCACAAATATTTGGCTTTACTATAATAGGTATTTCCTAGAAGAAATGTGATCACCTTTAAAACTCTAGTGATTTCAAAGCTAGCAGTTTATAATGCTTCTCTTCCCCTCTCCTCCCCTCCCCTATTCAGATCATACTAACTTCTAAGTCACCAAAATGACCAGGAATATTGTGGTTTGGTTTTGGTTGCTAAAGTATGGCAACGGCATAAGTGCAGGATACTGTGAGTCATGTGGGAGTGCTTGGAGCATGTCATTGCTACTCACGGTGCCACCTGGGGGTGCTGCCTGCACTGCACCCTGCAGAACTCATGGAGGCAAAGCAGGGGGCCTGGCATACACACCCTCAGGCTTGTGCAGCTCTGGAAGTCCCTCGTTTACCTTGAACACATGCAGAATTTTCACTCTGTCCCATGGTACGCACCTTCTTATCTTAGTGCAAGAATTCCCACAAATCTCTGAGTACAATTTGATACTCTGTGTATTCTATAGCCTCTTGTACTATTCCCTCTCCCTCAGGGTCTGGCTTGCTCCTGTGAAAGGATCAGGCGCATATGTTGTAGATTTTCTTTCCTTTCTCTTTAGCAAGAGAAAACAGCCAAACTTAATACAGACATATGTATAGGAACGCTGCACACATGAGAGAGTCAGACTCCACATGCAGGAGAGGTACCTAGATTTTCTTTTCTTTAACCCCCATCATTACCTTGTTCTGGTAGAAAGGAGATTTAGAGGTCTGAGTTGAAAGTGGAGAAACGGTGGGATTAAATTCTCATAGGAAAAGAGAATTACTGTGTTTGCTACCACCCAATGAAAATGACGGGCTATTTCCTGCTGGCAGAGGTCTGGCCTTGGTACCACAGTTGACAGAAGTATAAGGTCATCTTTGCTGATACAGTCTACTTTCTGCTTAGGTTCTGGGTCCCAATTCTACTTCCAACAGTATCATGGCTTCTTATCAACAACAGAAGACTTCAGCTCCTGTTCTTGGTTAGTATTTTTCCCTCTGAATTACTACAGTACTAAGCAGGAGTATCTTTCTGTATGTGTTGAGAATTCAGCAGTTTAAGGTGAGAATCTAAGACTACATCTTTAGTAAAATGAGTTTAATGCATCTAATGGTGGGAAGCTGGAGGGTGGGGAATCCAACATGACTTTAAACGTATAGTGTTGTTTTTTTTTAGTTCTATTGTACACTTGTCAATACAGTGGCATATTCTTGTCTGCATGAGCACATACAGTTTAAAGATTCTCCTGAATCATAATTTTTGGCGATTGGAGTTTCACAGTTGCAACTTGGGGATGTTTTCATAATCCTTAAGAGCTGGACCTTCTTGATCATCTTTAGGGTTGACAGTGTAATTTGAAAGCAAATCTAAAGTCCATTAACATTGCATGTGGATTTCCTATTTACTTATACCTAAAACTAGAGGCCTGGTGCACGAATTCGTGCACCAGTGGGGTCCCTCGGCCTGGCCTGTGGGATCTAGCCGAAACCAGCTTTCGGACATGCCTTGAGGGGTCCTGGATTACAAGAGGGTGCAGGCCATGCCGAGGGACCCACCGGTGCACAATCAAGGCCAGGGAGGGATGCGGGAGGTTGGCCAGCCGGAGAGGGACTGCGGAAGGGCTCCAGGGCGTGTCCAGCCCATCTCGCTCAGTCCCAATCAGCCAGACCCCCGCAGCAAGCTAACCTACCAGTCAGAGCGTCTGCCCCCTAGTGGTCAGTGCACATCATAGCGAGTGGTTAAGCAGCCTTAGCATATCATTAGCATATTGTGCTTCGATTGGTTGAATGGACGACCAGACGACTGGACACTTAGCATATTAGGCTTTTATTATATAGGATGTTTTGTTTGATGGGGGGAGGTGATTCTCAGTTAGATTACATATCCGTCAAAGTTAAAAGTCCTAAAAGCTTTCTTTTGAAAGTTGAATGGAAACTTTTGACATATCGATTTGGTACCTGAATATTTGCCTTTCAGGTGGATTAATCAAGGATACCAATCTCTTAGCTTAGAAAGGTTAGAGATACATTTAGAATGGCAGTTTTTATTATATTTTCTAGCATGTGACAGGCAGCAGTCTGAAAATTTTTCAATTAAATGCCTAACTATAATAGCATTTTGATGACATTTGAAGTAGCCTGTGAGGGTTCAAATTAAGTTTAACTTTAATGGCGTATGTTGCTACCAGGAATAAACCACTAACTGCCTTTCATCCCAGCTAAGTACATGTATATGGATAGTACCACTGCATTCCTGGCAAGCTGCTTTTGGTATCGATCCCAAAGCATACTTATTTCTGAGGTGCTACAAATTCATCTTAGACCTGAGGCAGTTTAGTAATTACTTAGTTTGTACTGTGACTAATCCAGTTGTAATTTCTGTCACATTTTCCTTCTTGCCGTCCTGATGCTGACCTGCAGGTCATGTCAGTCACCCCTTTCCCTGGAGTAGTCTAGGTGGCGCTCCTTGCAGAGCACTTCCCTTTCCCGCTGATCAGTTTGAGGCTCCTCATTAAATGAGTATTGTCTATGTCCTTGTGGCTACAAGATTATGTAGGAAAAGAGAAGATGAACTACTCACAAAAGTAGTTCCACTCAAATATTTGTCAACGAGTCCTCTCCAGCTAACAGTACTGGTTAAGTACATTCATACATCCCAGTGGGACCAGTGGGGCATTTTCTCTGATTATTTCATGTTTGCAACGCAGTGTAACATGCAGATCGATTGCAAGTGTTGCAAAAGTTCACGATTTTATAAAATGGATTCAAGTGTTATTGGAGGAGTGCTTAAGTCATAATCTAGTTGAACTTGTTAAAATTGATAACAAAATAAGTGCTTCAAATGAGAGTGATTTGACTCTCAAATAATTAAGAGAAGTCCTTGGAAAAATTGATAAAGCCTTCAGTGTATTTTTGTAAAAGTTGCTGTGAAATTCAAACGTGAAAGTCATCATGTTCTGCTGTCATACACTTTGTCAGTGTAATTATTTTCCTCCAGATTCAGTACTTGGTATTTATTCTCAGTTAAGTTTAGGAATCAAATATTATTGTAATGCCTAAGTTTTTAATAAGATAGAATATATTTTCATAACTTTTTTTCTTCTTTAAAAAACAGATAAAGTCTAGGTCAAAGTTTATTAATCACTATTTAACATGAAATTAGGGGCCTTGTTGACAATGAACTTATTTAAGTAGCCTTTTCCAATATCTATTCTTAAATGAGTAAAACCTCCTATGGTCTTTGTATCTATATAGTTTTTGTTTGGGGGAGTAGAGAGCAGTAATTCTGTGTGAAATTATAAAAGTGTTATGATTAGTAGAGGAAGTCTGGATTGTACAGAAAAGTATATTAAAGAAAATTAAAATTTGATGATTTCTAGTCGTGTATACATACATATATTTTGTATAATATGAAACCATGTTTTTAAAAACGTTCTTGAGCGTTTTTCTCACATTGTTAAATATTTTTGAAAATAAGTTTTAATGTCTGAACGGCTCATATGTGCAGATGTACTGTTGGAAGTTTATCATGAATCCTGCTAAGATAGAAAAGCTTTTAATAGACTTATTTCTCATATCTCTGCTTCCTGTATATGATACTTATTTAATAGATTCCACAAATCTAACTGGAAAAGGGTCTGGGAGTTTCATCTAACAATGACAATGCTCCCTCATCTATTCCCCCCACACACACACACTTTTTTTAAGTAGGGACATTTTTATCAGTCAGTGTGCTTGTAGAATTTTTTTTATCATAAAGTATTTTCTGTGCAGTATCTTTACTCATTGAATACATGCCCCATGTTTCTTTACTCTTACAGTTGAGGTAAATTTTACGTAGAGTAAAATGTATAGATTTTAGGTGGACGTAGTTTGATGGCCTTGTGACCACCACCCATTTGAAATATAAGACCTTCTTTCACTTGGAATCACTCGGTGGGCATTTACCTGCTACTCCCCCATGTGCATGGAGTTGTAATGATATCCCCCCGCTGCGTTTGCTCTGATCGAGGTTGGAAGGTTACAGAAACATGAACTCGCTTCTGATGGTCATCTTGTAGTGGCCCAGTTTTAGATTAGAGTTACTGCCTCAGCTCCCACCACCAAGAAAGAATGTGTCCTGTCACCATCTCTCTCCTTTGTATTAGATGCTGAGTTTTTGATACCACCGATGATCAACAAAAGAACCCAGTGGAAACTGAGCCTGTTGGAGTGACGGCTCCTCGTTGGGAGGGCTCGGCAGAGAAGACGTTTTCTTTCCACCCTCAGTCCTCCAGGCCTGGCTGCCGAGAACCAGGGAAAGGGAAGACTATGATCTACCTTCGCATTGCCGAGAGCTGCTCCGTGCAGCAGACCTCTGCACACACCACGCAATTCTATTTTCTTTTATTTTGCATAGAGTTTTAATTCACTAAACTTTAATCTTTAGTCAACATAGCATCATTTTGTCAGGTTTAGTATTCTTTTATTTAGTGTTTTTTGAGAGCATATTTCTGGTATTTATGATAAAACAGGAGCTGGGGTTTCATGCCCAGTTGCAGGTCTAAGTCATATTGGGACCTTAGACAAGTCACATAATTAATTTGTGCCTCAGTTCATTGAGAATAATGTTTCATGGTTTCTACCTCAAACATGTGAAGAAATGTTTTTAAATTGCTTTATGTTCCTGGAAGAGAGCATTGCATATCAACAACATGGCTGTTAGTGCTACCAACAGTTAGTCACATTTCGTCACTTCAATGGCTTTTTCACCTTGAACTAAAGCAGAATGAAAAGCTAGCTGTATCCTTTGAAATACAAAGCTTTTCCCTGCTAACAGCTGTTATTTTGCAGTATCTTACCTGATTATGTGCTCCCAGTTATAACTGGGGTAAGCCTTCCATCACTACAGTGTCCACAAGGACTGTTTTCACTGCCTGTGAGTTTTCTGCTAGAGACTTAGCAGAACAGAGTAGAATTTCTGAAACACATCATGCAATTTGTTATGGTGAGCAGTGTTCGTCAGATGGCATGCACGGTTGTGAGTTACTCCTTTTTCTCCAAATACTGCATCTTTTAACAAAATGTTTTTGTCAGTGTCTAGACCATTTCATTTCTTTTTTCTGTATGGTACCTAACTGACCTCTATCTATTAGTTATTTTCTTTGAAAGAAATGAGAATATTTTCTCTTTTTGGTCAGTCTAGAAAAAGCTCATGTCATGTTGATGCTAGTTTTGGGGCTCTTAGGTAAGATTAAAAATTTCTTCCATGCCTTTAGTGCCAGACCCAGATCTTCATCACTATACATAAACTAACTGGAAATGCTGCTTTTGATTGAGTATAGGTATATCCAGAATTATAATTTCAGACTTTTCTTAATATAGCAAAATGTTAGCTGTAGAATCTAGGTGTGTTCCCTGTGTAATTCAACTTTTCTGTTTGTCTGAATATTTTCACAAAATAAAACAAAAAAGAAGAGATAAAGATATGTATATCCTGCTTAGGAGAAATTGGCTTTTTGGTGCATACCCATATGGATTTGCTGTAATTAAGTTCCCAACACTGAAAGGCTAAAAGTGCTTTGTGTCTCCCCTTTGGCATGGATAGATGAGCATGATAACTGCTATGACATTTTAATAAGTTTCAGTGCTCTTGGTGTGGGTAATAGTAAAGAGACTTGCTGATGGATTGGAAATACAAGTAAATGTGTCTTGATAATGGTGTGATTTCGTGGATGGTCAGTTTTCTTAAAATAATGTAGTGAAGCAACAAGAAAGAATTTGTGTGAATTCTTTCAATTCAGTTTACTATCAATTACTATCTCTCTCATCGGAGCAAGATGGAATTTTGTTCACTGAGAAGTAGCAGGCGGGAGCAGACCTTTCAAATTCAAGGTAAAGTTGAGGAAGAATGCAGTATGGGACCAGGAGGAACTCCTGGGAGTGGTGAATGCCTCCTTCTGGGGAAAGACTCCGTGAAGTTTTAGAAAAGAGTATATAGCTCTTCCCCCCAATTTGGTTTGTGTCCCAAAGCAAGTTCATGCCCCAACCCAAGTTTGTGCCCTGACTAGAAATTGAACCCACAACTTTTTTTGTGTGGTTTACAGAATGACACCCCAACCAACTGAGCCACCTGGCCTGGACAGCCTTGGCACTTTTGACACTTTGGGGCATATCATTCTTTGTAGGGAGCTGTCCTGCGCATTATAGGTTATTTAAACAAATCCCTGCCCTCTACTCTCTAGATGCCAGTATTTCATACTCCCCACTCCTGTTAGGACAACCAAAAACATCTTCAGACATTGCCAATGTCCCATGGGGGTCAAAGTTGCCCCCGTTTGAGAACCACTAGTCTAAGATGATTTCCAAATACTTAGTAAAAGTATTCACCTCTTTCTTTTAAAAAAAAAAATACTTTTATTGATTTCAGAAAGGAAGGAAGAGGGAGAGGAGATAGAAACAGCAGTGATGAGAGAGAATCATTGATCAGCTGCCTCCTGCAAGCCCCCTACTGGGGATCTAGCCCACAACCCGGGCATGTGCCCTTGACCGGAATCGAACCTGGGACCTTTCAGTTCGCAGGCTGACGCTCTATCCGGTTAGGGCAAGTATTCACCTCTTTATGAGGATTCTTTTTTTCTACAAGGCTGATTGTGTAAGGATTCATGAAAGTGCTTTGGAAAAGACTATGCAGTTGTTTAGCCTTCCATTTTTTCATTTTAAAATACAGCATAATGTTTAGGCCTAGGGAGACCTGGAGAGTCCCATCCTCCAGAGCTACCTTCCCTGCCTCCCCTTCATCACAACCCTCAGTTTCTGGGGTTCTTGACTTTTGTTCCTAGACCCTTACAGGATTTGAAGATAGTGTATTTCTATATGATTGCTTTCCTCTGTGATCCTACTTTATGCATTTTAAAATATTACTTAGGGAAAGGTACATAGGCGTTATCACCCTGCCAAAGAGGTCCAAAGGTTAAGAATTAACCAAACTTCAACCCGCCCATCAGTGAACGTTCATACAGTGTTGACACATGAGTGGTTTGGGCAGAAACTGACGTGAGCAGGACATAGCTCTTTCTCATGTCGGTGTACCCAACTCCTAGCTGATTCCCAATACTGCAAGGTAAGGCTGTCATTCTTGCTGAACTGTAGGCACTCCAGGTGCCCCTCGGGGGCTATCTGCTGCTCTTACTCCAGCTTGCTGGTGCCAGCCAGCGGTGCTTCCTCACCAGGCCAGGACCCAGGGTCTGCCCTGCAAGTCTTTCAGGGGTGTCTAGGCAAACCTGGAGGCTCGGAGGGTGGTTCTGGAGAGCTCCTCCCTGGGGGTGGTAGAGATGCCATAGCTCTCCTGTGAGTGCTTGAATGTGTGCCTTTGTGGGATGGGGGTGGGGGGGCGGTGGGAGTTACAGGACACTCAAGACCATAGTAAGACTTTTGGGCTTTTGTGTAAGAGAGAAAAGTCTATAAGATAATGCTAGCAACTCTTGTGATCCCCTCCTGGAGGCCGGACACTGGTGTTTAGATGCTTTGTGGGAGGCTGAACCTTGACAGCATCCTTCCTATTGGTGTTCATCAGAAGGGATCTTGGTGAACTTGGGTGCATATATGCATAGCCCACGGACACAGTAGTGCAGGGAAGGCCTGAGATGGGGCAGGGACTGGGTGGAAGGAGGCAAAAGAGGAAATGGGGGACATCTGTAATGATGTCAATAAAAAAGGGGGGGTCTTATATGTCACAACAGCATATAATCTACCATCATACTTCCCCTTCCAAGCAAATCTTAACAATACAGTAGTTCCTAAAGTGGGAAATACACAAAATAAGAGACAGCACCATTTTAGAGCTAGTCCTTCTACCCGCCCCCCCCCACCTCCCCCTTTGTGTTGGCAAACGTATGTTTTAAGGCAGAGCTGCATGTATGGAGTTGTTCTTAAGTCAGGAAATAGAGAAACACAACTGTGGAGGGGAACGGAGTGTTTAATGCTGTCGGAGTGAACATGCTGGGCCTATGTGTGGGGTGTGTGCTCACCCAGCAAAGCTGATACCTGGCAGCCACAGTGACCATGCTTCATCCGCGTTCAGAAGCACCTTCTGTAGATGAAGAAAGGCCCATGTTCCTCATACTCAAAGCGGTGGACCCATAGTGGCTGGAAGCCATGGAGCGATGCCAGGATGGAGCCACCCGTCCACACTGCAGTCTCTCTCTCGGGCAACACGTTTACCTGGGGGGTGTCATTGGGACACAAGCTGCTCAGCTCCCGCTGCAGACGGTTAGGGAAACCACTGAGCATAGTGCTCCCCCCGCAGAGCAGGATATTCCCCATGAGGTCCCGTTTGAGGGCGATGTCGCACTTGTTCAGGCAGGACACCGTCTGGGTGTGGAGGCCCAGCTGCATGGACCTGATCAGGGAAGGCTTGAAGAACATCTCGGAGCAGAGGAACCTTTCCTGGCCCAGGTCTATCTGCTGCCCGTCCGGCAGGGTGTACTGGATCATATGCTTTGTCTCCGGGACTTTCTTCTCTTCGATGGGGTCCAGGGCCACAAAGCAGCATTTCTTCTTGATGTCTTCCACAATGCCCTTCTGGGCCTCGGTGAAGTGTTTTCCCGAACTGTTCATCAGGCCCATCAAGTAGTTTGTCAGATCAGAGCCCGAATAGTCCAGCCGCCCCGTGATACTGGGCAGAGGATAACCTTCGTAGATGGGGACCACGTAGGACACGCCATGGCCCACCTCCACGACCAGGCCGGAGGTCCTGCCATAGGAGTACATGGACAGGCGGGACTGGTAGGCGATGTGCATCGCAGGAGTGCTGAAGGTCTCAAACAGCATCTCAGCATACTTCTCTCGGTTGGTGTGTGGGCTCAGCGGTGGGTCTGAAACCAAGACCGCATGCTCCTCTGGGGCGATCTTCATCTCTTTATGGAAGATGTATTCCCAGATACCCTGCACTGAGTCCCAGTCCACGATGACGCCGTGCCGCAGGGGATTCACCAGCTTGAGACGAACCTCCGGATGGATGAGCTCCTGCCCCACGAAGGTCTCCTTGCGTTTGTCCCCAGTCTTGGTGGTCTCCATGTAGGGCTTGCCCACTGTCGAGGAGATCTTGTGGGTGGGCCTTTGCAGCCCAGCGAAGCCGCACTTACAGTAGCCAGTGCCGAGGTCCACAACCACCGCTTTGGTCACCTTTACCTGGGGCTTCTCCCTGGCTTCTGCTGATTTCGTGGGCTCGTCTGGCTCCAAGCGGTTCCGGTGGACCCACACCGCACGCTTCGCTGGACCACATTTTAGGGAGGCCGTCTGGAGGGGCTCTGTGTTCAGGGAGGCCTGTTCGCCCTTCCCCTTGTCAGGCCCATCCCCTATGATCCTTGCCTGCGGAGCCCACATGCTAGCAAGAGCCATCTCACGCTCAGAAAGTTCCTTGATCCCACAGGCTTCAAGGTCAGAAAGGCTGAAATCAGAGGGCAACTTTAGAATGTCCCCAATGATGACATCACCGATTATGACATAACTAGTGACCTGGGGCTTTCTAGATACTGGGAAACTTTATCCCAATGTAGGGTTGATTTGGGTAGTGTTTCATGGAGATTTACCCTTTTCTCGATTTTGTACTAAACCTGAGTCATCCAGTCAGTATTTATTGAATGCTTGCAGTGTTCAGGCAGCTGAAAATACAAGGCAGAGTAAGAAAAAGAAAATTCTCCCCCCTTTTAGAGCTTATATGCTAATCAGTGGGAGTTGTGGAGACACAGACAATAAGCAAATTATATATATAAAATAAAGGTCCTGTTTATTAACATACATTTCATTTTCAAAATTGAGCTACCAACTGTAAAGTGTGTCTACATTTTGGGGGGACACTATATATATGTAAGTATATGTATATGAAGATGTTAAGGGCAAAAGGGAAAAACAAAGCAGGGAAAGGGGATGGGGAGGGTGGCTGTGTTGTGTCTGAGCAGGGCTCCCTGAAAGTGAGTGAGTGAAGACCTGCAGGAAGTGAGGGAGAATGCCGTGTGCATACCCGAGTGGCAGATGTAGAGGACTGGAAGCAGACGTGTGTCTGATGCGTTAGAGCAGGGGTCAGCAAACTAGGGCCTGCAGCCTGTCTTTGTAAATTTTTATTGGAGCACAGTCACTTGTCTGTGGTTGTGTTTGTTGAGTCATGGCAACAAAGACTGCAATGGCTCACAAAGTAGAAAGTAAATATTGACCACCTGGCCCTTTACAGAAAAAGCTTGTCAGCCCCCAAGTTAGAAGATCCCAAAAAGATGAGTGTGGCTGGAGTGGAAAGAGTGAGGAACTGTACATGAGATGGAGGAACTAGGTAGGTAGGGAGGGCCAGCAGCTCACATTGGGCCTCATGGGCCGGTGCTAGGACCTTGGCTCTGGTTCTGCATGAGGTCAGAAAACACTAGAGAATTTTGAGCAGGGAGTTGACACCATCTGACTTAGATTTTAGCAGAAATAATTGCTGTTGTGGTGATTGTACCAGAACTTATGTCTCATTTGTTCCTTGGGACAATCTGCAGAGGAATTATTTTTGGACACGTATTTGTACACATATTTATCCTTCATGTGGGTCTTTGGTTCAGCAATGAAATTTGACCCTACAGAGTCCCACTGATGACAACATTGAGGCTCTTAGGTGTGTAACTCACCCAAGGATGGTCCAGCCAGCCGTGGCCAAGCTCCTAACTACGACCTTCCCAGGGGTGTGCTGT